AACAGGCAAATCCATAGATGCAGAAAGTGGATTTAGTGGTAGCCAGAGGTGGGGCAGGGAAGTGGGAGCGATGGCTAGCCCAGGACAGGGCTGCCTTTCCGGGAGGCAAAATGAACACTCTGGGCTGGTAGTGGTGACGGCCATACAACTTTGAGAATATCTTAAGTCACTGAACTGTATGCTTCAGGAAGAGTGAATTTTATGGTATATGAATTGTATCTCAATAAAAAGAAAAAAAGAGGTACATGAAGAAAGACATGGTGGAGAGCTAGGCTGAAGATCGGCAAGCCACCAGGAGACCTGTACAAGACTGCAGCACCCCCCAAACATGGGTGAGCAAAGCCCTTCCGAGGCCTAGAGGCCCACCTCTCTTCCCTGCCTAGGGATGATTCTGCTGGGGGAGGGGACGCTAGAGAGATCCTGGACCCCACCCCCACCATAGCAAGTGTTTCTTGTGCGTATCCTGCGTGTGATGGCTTGGACCAGAGTGACAGACATGTCACCTGACAAGACACACCACTTATTTTTGAAGACAGGCAGGTCCCCTGGTAATAGAGCAGGCACGAAGAGGCTCGGCCCTGGACAGGGAAAATTAGGGCAGAAAATAACACCGTGAAAACAGAACTGGCTTTTGAAATGAGAGAGAAGCCCCCTCCTCAGGCCCAGGGTGCCAGGCCTGAGCCCCTGGGAGTCGAGCCATCCCGCTTGGTGGTCCACTGCCCCCACTGGCCCGGAGCTTTCTCTCTGCTGTGTGCCCTTGCTGGGTCACTCTTCTGACTGGCAGCTGGGGGACGAAGGGAGCCAAGGCCACCTTCTAAAGACCATCCTTTCTGTGGGGCCCTGAGTGTCTGTGCTGGGCTGTGACAGAGCACTTGCTTCCTAGGCTGAAGGCCCTGCGTCCCAGGCCCTATCATCTGTGGCTACTGGGTCCTGGAATGGGCTGGGAAGGAGGAAAAGCCATCAGTCTTCTAAGACTTGCAAAGTCGTTGCAGGGTGGGGAGATTCTGAGACACCTGGGTAGGGAAAGGAAGTGGCTGGAGGAGGCATGACAGAGCTTCATCCCACTGCCCAGGTCACTCCTTCCGCCTCAGGTCATGCCCTGTCCCAGGGTGGGGAGGAGAGCAGGCTGGCCCTCCAGTCCCTACGGGTGGAAAGTCCTTATGAATGGAAGGGGAGGGAGAGGGGGAGCGCATGTGGGCAGCCAAAGCAGCCCGGGAAAGAGCAGGAGGCGGGGGGGCTGGGACAGGGAAGGATACTGGGGGGCTCTGGGCAGGGAGCAGGTTTATTTCCCTCTCTGAGTATGGGGTGACGGCAGGGCAGAGAGGAGAGAGGGCGAGGCTCAAGAGTTCGAGGGGGAGGACCTAGCTGTTTTTCCCAGCATCCCCCAGGCCACTTCTCTTACCACAAACCTCAGTCTCAAGCCACTTGGTTGTCATGGAAACAGGACGGAATAGAACAGATGGTCTCCACTAGCCAAATTCCAATTAAACAGGGCAGAGATGGATAGGCAAGGGGGTGTGCTCCGGCTAGGCCATGCAGGGCTCTGCCCCCTCAACCCACCTGCACTCCCTGGGCCACCCGAGGCTGGGCAGGGGGCCTGGGAAGGGGCTCACCCTGCCTTCCCTACCTTCATCCCTTCACTTCTCAAAGGTGGGGGCATGGAGGTTAAGGGAATGCCAACTTTGCGGGGGCCATGTTGGGGGATGCACCTTTACATTTACAGAATCCCTGAAACGGATTCACATGTGTTCACTCAAGCACACGCATGTCACTTAACCAGCTCGTGCATGCCTGTCTGTGTGCTCAGGAGCACACGGGAGCAGTGCAGAAAGGTTAAGCAAAGTCATTACAGAAGCACACTTTTAACACAGCACAAAGAAAATGCTTTGGAAAACAAAATCAGCAATTTATTCCCATTTATTTAATTAACATTAGTAAGACTCTATCAAGTGCCTCCGAGTGGGAATATAAACACACGCCTGTGACGGAGACGGTCCCGGGGCTCAAGGACACAGGCTAAATGAACTGTTAACAGAGCACTGCTCTGGCAGGGCTGCTCACCAAGTGCCACAACAGAGGGAGGAATATTGAATTTGGGGAGGGGGATTAGAGGGAAGGGTGCGTCCCAAAGGAGTAAGGTCTGACTGGGTTTTGAAGATGGAGTAGGAGTTCGCCGGGCAGCGAAGGCCAGCCCTCCGAGCACGCCTGCAGGAGGAAGGACCACAGCTGACAGAGCAGATCTGCCCACCTGAGTAGAGTCTAGAGTGTCAAGCAATGAGGAAATCCCAAGTCACAATGCTGGCGTCACTGAGGTGGCATCGTTTCTGACCCAAACACTGACACCCTCCCCCAGACGCTGCCATCACTCAGCACCGCCTGCGAAGCCACACAGCCATGCAGTTTCTCACACACACCCCACAGAGCTCCCCGTACTTAGCGGATGCTGAACAAATGGGAAAAAGATGATTTTGTTTGCTGCGAATAAAACGAGGTGGGTATGGAGGTGTCAGGAGAAACAGAAGCATCAGAAGTTCCCCTGTCTGGGCTACGGGTTAAATAGGGTGCCAAGAGAAAACAGAGAAGGAGACCGCAGAGCTTATCGGGCTTGAGAAGCCAGCCGGCTCCCATCATTTTAATAAACATTTATGGGGCACATACTGGGTACAGGGCACTAAACTGGGGCCAGCAGAGATTTTAAGGCCCTTCCTTATGGAGCTCAGGGTCTGGGGGAGGGGGAGGGAGGGGTTTAATTCTAGGCAGGAGCAGAAGACAAGAGGAAAGGTCAGGAGGGAACCAGGCACTTCCCAGGTGGGTGTGCTGGGGCTCTGGCTCTGTCACCAAGGCCCAGGCAGGAGCGCCTGCGGGAGTGGGAGCACTCATTTTGGCTGGAACCTGTAGTGGGTCCACGTAGAGTTGTGGGAAGTACCTGGAAAAGTGGGCTTCTGTGAAAGGCAAGTGGTTCTCAACTGGGGGTGCTTTTGCCCCCGGGGGGACCTTCGGCAATGTCTGAAGACAATTTTTATTGTACCACACTGCATCATGGGTGAGGAGGAGGATGCTCCCTTAGTGGGAGGAGGCCGGGATGCTGCTAAACATCCTTCACGGCTGGGGACGGCCCCACAGTCAAGAGCTGTGTGGCTGCACGTCAGCAATACAGTGCTGAGGCTGAAAGCCTGGGCTTACGTCACGGAGCCTGTACTTAAAAAGTCAGTGGCACTAGGGAGCCCATGAGGGCTTCTGAGCAGAAGAGGGATGTGCTCTCACTTCTCTGTGCTCGCTCTGCTGGTAGCAGTGGTGGGGCTGGGAGGGGTCCTTCAGAGAGGGCAGGAGATACAGAACTGACAACACAGCGGGTGCAGGCGGTTAGGAGAAAGAGCAGAACCGGGAGTCCCATTGCAGAAGTGGAAGGTCACCCTTTCAGAGAAGCCCCTGTGGCCCTCCCCCAGGTCAGGCTATGTCTCCGTCACAGCCCCTGTAACCACTGGAATAATTCCCAGGAAACTTTGTGCATCACTGCAGAGGCCGGGGGCCCCATCTGTTTTGAGGACAGGCCACCACTACTGTACTCAGCCTCAGCCCACACAAAGGATCGGGGCTGACAGGAGACCCCACTCCCAGGTCCCCTACTTTAACCCTTGCCTCCTTTCTCTCTATTCCCTTTCTTTGCCCCATCTTTCTCCCCTGACCACAAGGCTTTCAAAAACAGCTCTAGAAAACTCTTCTGACCACCATCAGAACGGGACTGTGCCCAGGACCCCAGGCCACAGGCAGGCCAACCTGGACAAACTCCAGCCAGAAGTTTCCCAGCAGTTAAGAGATGAAAAATGCCAACCCCCAAGACACATGGACCTCTGCGCTTCCTCACCCTAAGCCACCCGCCTGGGGTCAGGTGTCTTCAAGTGCATCCTGATGCCACCAGAGGAGTAAAGTCTTGAATGTTTCTAGTTGCTTAAAGCATTTTTCCTCACATAGCGGATGTCCAAAGAGCATTTGTTGGTTGATTGACTGATCTCACCCAAAGGATTAGGGGAACATTTCCCACAGTGCCACCCATGACACTGCATGGTCAGCAGAAAAGGCCCAAAGCCAAAAGAGTCAATGGGGCAGCAGCGCTGCTGGGGAGACCCTCTCTGGGTGGCCACGGGGCCTGTCCGTCCAGCAGGAAATATCTAGGGGCCTCCAAACAGCCTGTGGGGGAGGGCAGTGGAGCAGGTCACTAATCTCTCTTGGAGATTAAACACCACGATGGCTCTAAAGACCAGACCCAGCTGGGGGAGGGGGTGGCAGTGGGAGGGTCAGAGGGCGAAGCTTGGCTGGGCTGTGGTGACCCAGGTTAGGGGTGGGGGGGGGCTTCTTTTCTGAGCCTGGACATAGCCTAGAAAGGTCTCCAGGGTTACAGGAGGCAGGGGAATTAAAATTGGGTAAAAAACCCCCAATGATTATTAACCAGAGTTACTAATTATTAACCAGCTTTGACTCCTGGACTTGAGGCCCTGATTCTGGCTCCCTCACCATCATTGCTGAACTTCCCATGGGTCCTGCTTCCCTGCGCTCTTGACCATTGGCCGGGATGCTGGCCTGGCCAGGGGCTGTGACTGTCTTAGCACAGAAACCAAGCACCCCAGGGTGAGGACCCCTTCAGGGGAGTGGCAGGGCCTGCCTGGGGCCATTTCAGTGCCAGGACAGTGCTCACAAACTGCCTGCAAGGTAGGGACCCCTGGACTTCTGACTGCAGCATTTGCCTCTGTATCCTAACGTCAAAAGAGCTCAGCACCCTACCCTGCAGCGTGCTGTGGCTTGCCCTCCCCGTGTTGCAACACGCCACAGAGCCGCTGCACTGGGTCAGGCAGCACTGGTGAATGACAGGAGAGGCTGCCAGGAGATCACCCCACCTGTGGCACTGTGGTGCACCTCCTTCCACTAGTCAGCACACCCATTTCAAAGCGGCTGAGTCCACCCCCAGGAGGGCCCAGCCTACCACCAGGGTTACTAATGTGAGCAGAGAGTCCTGTCCCCCAGCCCTGCTACCCCCTGCACACACACCCCTGGCCTCTGTGCACCCTGATGCTTGGCAATATGCTCCCTCTTGCCTCCTTTCTCTCCCCATCACCAGCTTAATTCCTTAATTCCTGCTGGAGATAAGCAGATCTTTCACTGCAATTTATTGTTAATCCAAAAGAAAACAGGGGTGGGAAGGGGTGAGGGCTGGAAAGGATGGGAAGGATGGTGAGGTGCAGACAGCGACCCGCGCTGCCACTCTTAGGTCTTGGACAGCTGTGGCTGAAGGCAGGCAATCAGAGGCCAATGTTCCAGGCTGCTCAGCCCACATCTGGAGCACCAGGTTCAATTCTGTGAGCAACTCCCCTGTGACTGGGGATCTAGACACCGAAGACGGCATCTGAGACCGTGAGGTATGAGACTGGATCACATGAGCTTATGGGAGTGGGGACACTGGAGTTCAGGCAGTCCAGGTGCCTGGGGGACGTCATGTGTGGGATCAGATGTACTCAGTGCCATTCTGAGGGGCAGAAACAGGACTGATGGGCAGCAGCTTCCAAAACATAGATCTTGGTTGAGTGTAGAGGGGAATGTGGGGCAGAGAGCACTATGGGGGTTTCCACAGAGGGTGGTGAGTTCCCCACCACTTGGGACATTCGTGTTCAAGTTGGCTGATCCACCAACTGGAAGGGATGTCATTAAGAGGTTTTAGGATGTGAAAGGGATTGCAATGCTCAGACTCTAGGATTCAGACTTGACCCATCTCTGTCTTCCTCTGCCCAGAGAGGTACCTTCAGCTGTGCACCTGCTGGGAGGCTCTTTCCTGAACTGGCCTTGGGAGGGGGACAAGCAGACTCTGCCTTGGAGGGTGAAGGACAGTACAGTGCTTGGCGTAGCCACAGCCGCGCCTGCATATCTAGGCAGGGAGGGTGACCCACAGGCCTTGGCTCTCTCTACACTGCACCCTGGGGCAGTCACAATCCTGCGCTTCCAGCTCCCCTGAAGGAGGCCCAGGCGTCTTGGCTTCAGGAGCCACTGAGCTCCCCTGGTGACCCTCTGGGGATGGGGGGTGGATCTGCCTGCAAGAGCCCTGGGGCTTGAGTTCCTGGTCCACCCATGTTGACCATCCTGGTGAAGGGACCCCACAACATTCCAGGTCACACCTGCTGGGAGGGCTCTTCCTGTTTACTTCTTGTGAGCCTCTCAGGACCCCCTGGCCCCCATTCTACAGTTAAGGGAAGTCAAGTTTAGAGAAGACGAGATGCTCATTTTAAGACTGACACAGGTAAGTCTTAAAATGCTGACATGATTTGGCTCCAAAATAACCAGTGGTTTCAATTTAGAGAAGAAAAATAGTCAAACCAGTTGTTTGTGATCATACAGACAAAATAATGACCTAACTGACCTCAGCCTATTCTCTAACTGGAGGCTGAGGGCAGTGTAGACCCGGGCTCAGACGCTCATCGTCTTTGGCTGCCTCCCATCCTTTCCCCCTCCACCACACCCTGGCACCCAGGCTCTGCCCCCCACCCCAGGAGCTGGGCGAGAGCCCCAGCCCGTGAAGATGGCAATCAGTCTAGTCAGGAGCAGGCGTGCATGCCCACGCCCGTGCGCACACACATCATGTGACCTCACACACACACTCTCTCTCTCTCACACACACACACACACACACACATCATAAACCTCCCTCATACACACACAGAGGACATAAAAACACTTGTAAAGAAACACATAAACCACACAGATTATCATTATAGAGCAAACTGTGTACACAAGTGCCAAGGGGACAGGGTAATGGAGCGATAGGAGGTGGGAGAGGGCCATCAAGGACATTTCCTAGGAAAGGTGTTTCCAAGCAGAGCTTGGGGCGGAGGAGGCCACAGACACCCTTCTCTGCTCTCTCTGCAGCAGCAGCCCCTGAGAGGAGGGCGCCAAGGACTGTCACTGCCCCCACCCCATCCTTCCTGCTTCTCTTCAGTACTGATCCCAGCCCATTATCTGACTCCTGGGAGGGCAGGGAAGGGTGCTATTGCCAGGGCAGAGTCGGGAGCAGGGAACAGTGGTCTGTCGCCTAAGTTCACCAACGGCCCATCCATCAATCCAGTGGAGATAATCAGAGTGCTCAGCCAGCCCAGGACACTGATGACTCTCTGGCCACATAAACATAGGGAATAAATCTGGGAAGGGGCCGGGCAGGACGATATAGCAGGGCTGGCCACCCTCCCTGGGAAGAGAGAGGAGGCCCATCCATCATTCTGAGAGATGCAGCAATCTAGGCCAATGAGATGGAGACAGTTCGGGGGGCGGGGGAAGTGGGCAAACATAATAAAATCATCCAGTGCAGTGTGGCTGCTCTGCTCTGATCTTATTTACACTTGGGGAGATGCCTATCCCTGCCTCTGCTCCAACTGAGACCTGGGAGCTACTGCAGGAAGCTTCTGCTGTAGATTCAAAGCCCTACGAGGAGGTCCCGCTCCAGAGAGCAGAGAAAAGGGGCATGAAAATGGTCTGGCCCACAATCAGGGCAGCCACCTGCAGGTCTGGTCAGGGGACCCTGTGTGCTTGCTGGGCAATCCTTGGATTTTGGAGGGACTCAGGAAGGGCCTAAGCCCACCTTCCTCCTACAACTTCCAAGCACTTCCTGGGTGCAGGGTAGATTCTAGCCCCCAGCACTATCACATGTCTATGGCTGGTGTCTGGGCCACAGGGGCCATGTGGTAATTCAAGCTAACGGAGCATGGATAATCTGGAACAGCAGAGGGTCTAGGAGGAATTTCTCTTTGGCGTCGAAACAGATCAGATGACTGTTCTGCAGCCAAGTTACCTTCCTAATTAAGCAAGGGAGTCTGTGAGGCCCGAGCCCACAGGGTAACCGAGGGTCAGGGGGTGCCAGGAGGAGCTTTGGGCCTGGGTGACCGAGAGGACATCGGCATGTGTACCGTCCGAAGTTGATGCTTAGCCCTTAGTTACACATCAGGAAAGGGTTTTGGTTTTTCTGCTCCTGTGATCTCTACTAGGATGTTCTCTACCCCTGCTGTGAGGCTGAGGAGGCCTGGCCCCAAGATCAACTGCCTCTATCCCCAGCTCCCTGTCCCTGGTCTGCCTGGGGCAGAGGAAGCACCAGCCCTTTCATCCCAGGAGATCAAAGCAGCCTGCGCGGGTGAACACCCTAAATCCTCTTCTTCCCTCACTCCCAGGCAGGGGCCCCGCCCTTGCCATCATTTGAGATCTCTGGGAGAGGGAAAGAGAGACCAAAACCTTCCAGAAGCTTGGGATGGGATCTGGCATAGGATCAGCTTGCTGAGTCCTGGACCCATTCATGATGCGGGGCCAGCCTGGGACACCCGCCGGGGGCAGTTCCACAGGTTCTCTTGGGGAAGCTTCTATGCCTGGCCTAGTCTCACCACAAAATGTGGTGGGAGATGATGTCCCCAGATTCAGGGGATGAAAAAGGAACATCAAAACATTCCACTCTAGCACAGCCACACGAAAACCCCCAAGGTACAGCAGTGACCAGGGCAGGATATACCAGGGATATAACAATTGTATTTCTTTCTTTCTTCTTTTTGTACTGGGTATTAAACCCTGGGGCACTTTACCACTGAGTTAACCCCCAGCCCTTTTTATTTTTTAAAATTTTGGGATAGGGTCTTACTTATTTGCTTAGGGCCTTGCTAAGTTGCTGGCCTCAAACTTGCAATCCTCCTGCCTCAGCCTCATGAATTGCTGGGATTTGGGGTGTGTACCATCATGCTCACTACAACTGTATTTCTAATACTTCTAAGGTATCCAAAGAAAATAACAGTAACTCTTGGAATATACAGGGCTAATAGCTCCCCAGGTGCTCCAGGGAATATACAATGACAGCACCAGATTATTCCAGAGCCATCAAGGGACACAGTGTAAACATTAGGTGCTATGTGGAGGTGGTGGACAGTTCTGGAAGCAGGGGCTCATGAGTACTCCAGGCTGTCTCCTCCATCACCCAGCCTCCCGCCTGCCAGAAGATAGGTGGCTTAGTCAAGTGGTAGGATCATAGACTCTGACCTGACTTTCTGGGCCTGAGTCCTAGCTCTGCCACTTACCAGCCTTGTGACCAATCGTGAGTTACAAGACTCTTGTCTGGGCCTCATTTTCCCATCTGTAAAAATGGAGAAAACAGAAGTACCTTCTCCATGAGTTGCTATGAAGATCAAATAAGTTATTACCTGTAAGATGTTTACAACAGGCCTGGCACCCAGGGCTCTCAATAAATTTTTTTTTTTTTTTTTTTTTATCATCATCACCAACAGTCCTTATGAGCAACCGTCTCTCCATGTGGCATGGACTAGTGGCCCACTAGGCTAGACCCCGGGGAAACCAAGCCGCATCAGCAAGGGAACTCTCAGTACTGTGGAGAAGACAAACTTCAGGCTCAAAGAACTACCGAGCAAGGTGGAGAGTATCAGACCACAGGGTGGCACAGCTAGGTGCTGGGGCTGTGAGTGAAGAGGTGGTCCTCAAGTGGGAAGCCTGAGGACTGCAGTGGCTCCTGACCTCAGCAGTTAGTGTCTATGGGCTGGAAGGGAGAATGTGAGGGAACAGGAGGTACAATGGCACTGGGTGGGGAAGCACCAGAGTGAGCAGGGTGGGGTGCAGGGAGGGCAGTGGGAGATGAGCTAGCGGCGCAGCCATCACATGCTCCAGGGCCTATGAGTGTCCTTCTGGGGTACAGTCATCCAAGCAGCAGTGTGGGCACACATAGTCAGGAGTCTGGCTGCCAGTAATGATGTTGCTGTCACCTCCCCTGCAGTGGGACCCGTGTGAAGTAGTAACAGGGCTGGCTTGGCTCCAAGGCACCTCCTCTACCCTGCTCTTATCCTAGCAGCTAACCGCATCTGCCCACAAGACACCAGGACCAAGAGTGGGAGGGACCCGGGGGACCCGGGGCACAGCTCAGGGAGAACTCCATTCCCGGCAGCTACCTCCCCAATCCCACGTGGGGCTTGTGCTCCAGAAGAACTGCAGACAGGACCTTATGGGGTTGCTTCATGGGCCCAACATAGGCCTCTTGTCCCCTACTCTCAGATAAGGACTCTTATCTGATCACAGATTGGCTGTCCAATCTCCGCTGACTCAGCTGACGGGAATAGCAGCTCCCCTGCCAAAGTATGAACTGAACTGTGTGACCACTTGTGGGGGTCAAGTGAGCCCAGGTGTGCCCAGAAGCAGTCATTTGGGTCTAGCCTGCAGTTTTTCCAAAAAGCCTGAGGCACCAAGGGAGGGGATGTGCTTCTCTTTGCTCTGGTCTTGTTTTTCAGTGACACCCACCAGGCCACGGTGGTGCTCTGGAAGCCGGGTGGTGGGAGAGAAAGAGACTGCAGAGTGGAGGCAGCGACGGGCACCAGAATCTGCTAAGAAAAAACCAATCCTGTCTCCGGTGGGTGGAATCCCAGGCCCTATCACAGTAGCCTAGGGACTCAACCCCAGGGAGGAGACGGGACCAGGAAGCTCCTGACAAGGCTACCAGGTGGCCCCTGGTGGTGGCTGCTCTTTCAGTCCTGAGTGAAACTTCACTTATAGGTGGGAAAGAACTTCTGCCATGGTGTCTCCAAGTCCCCACCCCCTGCTTTTTGGATAGAAAGATGAGCCAAGATTCAGGCCAAGGCCACTGCAAGGATGTCCAATTCCATCTCTGCTCTAGCTGTACAGGTGTGACTGGGTATGCTGTCACCTGTCCCCAAGAGCCCTCCTCCAAGGAATGCTGCGGGCTGAGCTTCAGAGCCAGCTCCTTCTAGAGGAGGCAGACTCTTAGAACAGTCCCAGAGGTACTGCGTGCAGAACTAAGAGGCCAGGGGCAGAACTAAGAGTTCCAGGGGGTAGAGAAACTTGGGACCCCAAGTTTCCAGGCTTGGGGAGCATGCATGTGGTGATTTCAGAGGAAGGGACTTCATGTAAGCTCATAGACTGAACTCAGCTGCCCAATGGGACATTCTGACACCTATGGCCAATGGGCTATTTCCCTCTCAGGCCACGCCTGCAGCTGTGTCCCAAAGGAGCCACCAGCCAGCGGAACTCATGTCCTCTAATGAGATTCGGGCCAAAGTGGTCAGGCGGGTTTTATTGTCTGTGGCTTGGTAATGAGACTCCTCATAAACTGGGAATGAAATTGGGGTCTGTGCAGACCAGAGAAGTGGGGGTGGCCAAGGAGAGGAGTTAACTCTATCCACCAAATCTTGTCCCTCTGCCCCTCTTGGCTGTGCCATCTAGTCCATGAGTACCTGCCCTCTGCCCTGAGCCAGGCCACACCCTGCCCTGGGCCTGCCTGTACCCCGAAGCTCCACACTCACAGCTCATGGCCACGTCTCAGGCCACATCCCTGGAGTGGAGGAGGGATGCCCACAGCTCCCTTGGCCCTTGGCATCCCGCACTCAGACTACCCTGGGTCCATGGCCAGCTCCAGCGGGACCCTTCCCCAGTCTACATTCTCAACTCATCCCTTACTTTCCCAGGGAGCTGCCATGCTCTGGCTCACACTGCAGGGGACTGAAGATGGAGGTGGCAGGTGAAGTGGACGGCCATCTCATGGACACATTCAGTGAGGACACATCCAGCCTGGCTGTCCAACCCAGCTCATTTCATCTTCCTGATCTACTGGGTTTGCAGTCTCAAGTCCTGGCACCTAATTTGGCCATACTGGCATGAGATGGGCAGCAAGGTACCAAAACTAAGTCTCACTTTCCTCCTCTGTAAGGTGGAGGTCATGCTAGTAAGGCCTATATATTGGGTGGAACAGTCAGGAAGAGGATAGATGAGCTGAAAACAAACACTGCTGTCATTATAATGTTGCAGAAGGGTTCCATCTGTGATAGGGGAGGCAACAGAGGAGGAGCAGCCCAGGAGGGACTTCGCTACCTATCTGGCTCATACCATTTCACCAGGGGGGTAGACTCCCCGAGAGAGTCTTGTTGTCTATCCTCTCCTCAAATGTGAAAGTTTGAAGGAGGCAGAGGCCAAGTCCCAGGCCCTCCCTGCCAGCCAGGATGCTGCCACAGCCAGTGCTCCAGATGGGCAATGGCACCCCAGCTGGGCTCCAGCCAGGCAGCGAGGCGGGTGCTGGGAGAGCCCTGGGCGACATGCTGCAGAGTGGAGGCTGTGTAGCACCTGCTCCCTGCACAGTCCTCGACCACCACGGGGCAGGGGCATGTAGCCAGCCAGGCCACCTGAGCTTCCCAGAGCCCTGGCTACTCCCCAGTTGCTGCACCTGGGTTATTATGTCCAAGTGGGAGAAGGGACTCACTCTCCAAGCAGCACCAGATTGGAGACAAGAGCAATGGGTGGGCAGTTGAGTGTCTCTTTCTCAAGGGAGCCATAAAGGTGATGCTACCTGACAAGCACTCAGGAGGCAAGAGCATTCAGAGGAAAGGAGTAGGGACAGAAGTCACCACCCTTTGCAAGATGCTTATCATATGTCTGGCAACGTGCTAAGCACTTTTCATTCATCATTCCCAATCTCATTTTCACAAGTCTTGGAAATCTGTATTGACAGAAACCCATTTTACAGATGGAAAAACCAAGGCCTGAAAAGCAACTTCACTGAGGTCACTCAGCTAGCAGTCGATGGAGCTGGATTTCAACGGAGCCCAGATCGCCACCCTCCACAGTGTCACTATGCTGGGCTGCCAAGATGGGGCAACCACCAGGTGGCAGGGAGAGGACTGGGCTATCTGCTTCTCTGCTCTCCCTTGGAAACCTGAAAGGCACAATTCCCATTAAGACCCAGTGACTATACACCTATGGCCTCTCCTGAGCCCTACCCAGGATAAACCTGGGATTATCCACTGCCCTGAAAATTCTACAGTGTGCTGTCAGAATGTCTTTGAGTCCTTTTTGAGTTCCTCTTGTTGCACGGAGTTCAGTGCTCCTTGTGGAACGGGTTGAGGTTTCAGATAGGGCCTGATGTCTTTTCTCTTTGCCCGTCTCCCAGTTCCAAACAGTGAATGAGACTCCAGAGTGTAAAGAGTTAACTGGACTAAGGGGTGTTATCTCCAGCTCGGGGCATTCCCTCTGCAAGGTGATCCTGCTCAGATCTTAAGTTACTCCTGCCCCAGCCAGCACATCTGCTACCAGTTCTGCAGACCTGGTCTCTATGGAGGGGGGCTGGCACTACGGGCAAAACATTTTCCAGCTGGCCCGGGCACAGGGTACTAGGCTCCTAGGACTATCCTCTCTCCACTCCTTGCCTCTCATTGCCACTTCCTTTCTAACAAGAGGGCTCCTACTTCCTGAGGCTCAAACCATGTTTCTAGGAAAACCTAAAATTGCCGACCTGGGCATGCAAATGGCTCTGCAGGGCTTTTTATGGAGAACTGAAGCCCTCTGTTCATGTTATTTTTTAAAAATCCAGGATTTACTATCCCCCTCCTGTGATTCTTTCCCCCAAGTACCCAAGCAGGAAGCAAAGATGCTAAATCAGGAGCTGAAAACCTATCTCCCTCTGCCAATCCCAGCCATTGAGGGACATGAGAACCCACAGGGCAGGCCAGGGTTAACCCCAGGCTCAAACACTGCTCCGCTGGCCACAGAGAAAACAGAAGGCTGACAGGAGAGTCTCTCCAGGTGTTGTCAAGGTCTCAGGTGCCTCCTGCTGAGGATGCCGAGGCCTAGTCTAAAGCCAAGGGCAGAGGAGAAAAAGCAGCAGCTCCCAGGGTACCCACCCACCTAAAGGACCTGGACCCAGACCAGGCAGCTTGTCCTGGAAGGAGCTGGCCAAGGGCAAATCCTGGGTCTCCTCCCAAAGTCACCCTCACTGACACTCTGACATAGACACAGGCATTTTCAAAGCTTAGAACCACTCACAAAATCCATCAGCACGCCATAGGAAATCAGTTCTATAGGAACGTACATTTGATACTCTATGGCTCTAGTCCCATGATGACCGGCAGACATAGGTGCTCACACCTCCTCATCCTAGTCCCCAGAGAGCTGCACTTGTGACAGGGAACTACAGATCATCAACATGAACACACAAAGCCGTGCACACAACCACTCCAGACCAAAGGCAAGACTCTAAAAACGTTACAGGCCAAGTTCCACAACTGGCTAACGTCCCTCTAGCCTGGCGTGCTGGCTAATGATCAAAGTTTTTTAAAAAGAAAGAAAGAAAGAAATCAGTCGAACAGGTGAATACGCAGACACCTCTCCATCTGCCCCTTCCCCAGGCCAGGAGGCATTCAATTTACCAGGTTAACCAGGAACGATACAATCAGAAAAATCGAAGATACATTCACACCTCCCTTGGGTGTTTTCTGTTTGTGCTGAACAATGAACATTAGTCAGGTGCTAAACAATGGCAGCATCATAGTCACAGCAACTGGAGGCGACCCTCTGCCCCTCCAGCCTGGCCCACTCGCTCAGCTGTCAGCACTAGGGTTTTAGCTGGCTCCAGCATAAACTCCAGCATAAACTGGGCCTGCAGGTCAGGCGGCCCAGGCTGTGGCCAAAGTGGATTCATTGTGCAAAGCCAAGTGGTGGAGAAAGGAACTGATGAACTCCTGATGTCAGCCAGCATCGGGCATCTGGGGCTACATGCTCAGGAGTCTAGGTAGAAAAGACACCTGCTAGGCCATTCAGCCAGGCCCCTGGGTCCAATGTCTCCTGATCCCTCCTGCCTGATTCTGAGACACTCTCCACGGTGCTGCCTCAAAAACAGGCCTGGAGTCAGCTGTGGACACACACTGCAAGCCTTGGGCCAGCAGAATTGGTTTTGCCACAATGCCCTGCCCAGCAAGCCCGAGAATACCACTGTCTGTGAGAAATGGGGAGGAAATAACCCGACAGCTCTAACACTCAGAGTTTCAAAGTAAACCACCTCATGACAGTGAGCTGTACACAGATTGCAGAGGGGTACATGTGGCCCGACAGGTCTTCCGAGAGAGAGTGTGCATGACACCTGGGGTGTGTGTTCTCTTTCCAGACAAAAGGTGTAGGGAAGCCAATTAGGGAGGGTGTGGTGTAGATGGGACACCTGCTTCTCAGGCAGGTTCTCTGCCTCCTCCTCCTCCTCCTCCTCCTAGGGCTCCCCATCTTTCTTTGGGCTGCAGTTCACACGCCCCACTGACCCTCTCCTCTAAGTTAACGGGAAGGAACCACAGAGTGTCAATGTCAGGAAACAAAGACAGGCTCTAGGGCTTTCACCACCCTGCCTGGTAAAGTCTGTGTTGTTGAAACAAATTTTCCTGTGTACACTCTAGTAGCTGGATTGGGAGTGTTTGTGGTCAGGTGCCATCAAACACACTAGGGGCTCCTCCCTCCCCACCCCCACAATGCTCCCTATCACAACCCAGGAGAACCCAGAAAAGAGCAGCAGATTGGCAAGTCCCCAGAGAGAAGCAGGAGCCAGCAATCAGAAAGGAGTGTGTGTGTGTGCGTGTGTGTGTGTGTGTGTGTGTGTGTAAGTTGGGTGGGCTGGCCACTTCTGGGCCTACTGGCCTCTATTCAAGGGTCAAACTGGGAACAACCATATCTACCTGCCTTTCACAGTGGACTCCAGAGAAAGCAAGGCACGCAGGCAGTGGATCAAGGAGCTTGGTGAGTCTGGAACTTTGGCTGCCTCGAAAGCCACCCATCCATCAGTTACAATCAATCAGAGAACACTTATTAATTGCCTGTCTCTGCTGTGGCTCCATTTTTGGCACCCCAAGCTCTCATTTGGATTTTTGGTGAAGGGAGTGTCTACCTTGAGCCAGTTGAGGGTCACCTCCCAGTCCCCCTTCCTAAGCAGGTGGAACACAGCAGGCCTCTAGCCACCGAAGATGGAATTAACCACCCTTCAACATAAAACTGGGGAGAGAGAGCAACAAAAGGAGGGGAGAATGAGGCTGATTTCATCCCCCTCCCCAAACCTTCCCGCCCTTTGTCCATCCCAGGATTAGGTTAACCCCTAGTGTGCTAGAAGCAACCAGAGCTCTGGGCAAACTCTCCCTCCTCTGGGTTGAATGTGGATGTGTGGAATCAAAGGATTCCCAGAAGCACAGATCCCTGTGATCAAGCAAGTCCTGGAGTCCAAGCTTCTGTATGTCCTGGGCTTCCCAGGCCGTCCAGTGTGAGATGTAGACCTCTTACTTCCATAAGGCCACTCTGGGGGAAGGGGGCTCAGTCATGGCCATGGGAAGTGGCAATGACACCAGTGAGCCCTGGAATTTCCCCTCTCCCCCTTAGGAGAGATGCACCCCAGGATTCAGGGGTGGGGACACCTCCTCCCCACACACCTGTTTTCACAAACTGCTCTCCCTGGCATCTGCCACCCAGCCAGATTTGTGGAGTTCCAGCAGTGAGCTGGCTGGTAGGAAAAGGGGCACAGAAATAATGAGGTCAGGCTCCTGCCTTTCAGAAGATCACTCAAACCCCAAACCCCGACAGCCAAGCTGACCCCCTCTAACAAACTGCCTGGGAACTCTGACTGGAAGATTCACTGGAAATCTCATATTCTTGCCCCAGGGGGAACAAGTCTCTGTATTCCCACCCCTCTATCCTGAAACTGCAAAGTGAGGACCATGTGCTTCAGTCAAGCTCCCCTTTGCCCCCCTCCCTCTGCTAGGGGCAGAGGTCATCATCTCAGGTTTCTTCCCAGAGGGCTACAAGGACCCTTCCCCCACCTTGACCCAAATTGGGTGTCCCACTGGGAACCCAGTAGCTTCCCCAGGGACACAAAGGGTTAAATCTAGGCAAGGGGAATCGGTCGGATTTGCCTCCTAAACGCATTTTCCAGTTCATTCCCCAGCACAATATGCCTGGGCTGGTCCCAGCCTCCGCCCCCACCCCACCCGTCAGAGTGGTCCACTGTGGGCCACCTCAGGGTCCTGCGCTGTATTAACCCTTTGGCTGCTGGCAGCCCGCACCTCGAGGAAGGAAGGATACGCTCGGCACCCTCGTGGCCCCTCGGGAAAGTGGGTCAAGCAGCCACCTGGCTGGCACGAAGCCCGTGGCACCTCCTCCCGGGAGAACCCCTAGCATTAGAAGCGGAGTTCCAAGGCGGAGCCCAGTCCCGCGCAAGGCCGAGTTTGCGATCCCCAGCAGTTCGGGCCTCACCCTCCAGGAAAGGAACCGCAGGTGAGCGAGGAACCGCCTCTGCAGCAGGAGCTGGCTCTCCGTGCCCGCGGTGGAGCGATGTGCGGCGGGAGGGGGCCGAGAGCCTGAGACCGTCTGGCAAGGGGACGACGAAAGAAACGAAGCCCCCCTGCTATCCCCCAAACCCACAGCCCACCAGCTCCTAGACTGACGCCCTCCCCCTGGGGCTGTTGTCTCACACCCCGAGACGGTGATTACGGTGATTATTTTGCATTTATGTAACATGCAGTGTTTCCAAACTGCTTCTCGAGCTGAGAACTGGTTATTAAATAAATAGAACGCTATTACATATTATTATTTTTTGTGAAGAACTGAGCGGAGAAAGTGCTTTCTTGCTACACAGAGACGTGCATCTAACTGCTTCCCTGCAGGGCAGGCTGTTCGGCTCCTCAACCTCTCTTTCTCCGCCGCGCCACCTCCTACTTCCCCTTTTATCCAAGCCGTGACCCAACTTTTGTGGTTCCGTTCACTCCCTGCAACCCAGTAGTGCCCGCCATCCAGTTCCCAGCCCAGGGGAAGCACTGGATGGGTGGCGGGGGGTGGGGGGGGGGTGCAGAGGTGAACGCGCTTACCTGGGAGGAAGAACGCGGTCAAGCCGAGAGCTAGTCCCCACCAGGGTCCAGCGGCGCCCGCAAGCCCCATCCGAGCCATCGGGGTCCCGGGGACCGATGAGAGGGGAGGCGAGGAGGGCGCTCCTCGCGCTCCAGAAACCAGCCCGGAAGACGAGGGCGGATCGCTGGCGGCC